TTAAATTAGCTCAGTCAGAAATGAAAATAAAGATATTGCAACTGATATAATGGAAATGTAAAAGATCAACCATATGAACACCTCTATGCAAACAAACTAGACAATCTAGAAGAAATGCATAAATTCTTGAAAACACACAATCCCACCGCCCCCCACAACCTTGAATCAGGAAGAAACAGAAAACCTGAACAGACCAATAACAAGTAGTGAGACTGAAACAGTAACTAGAAGTCTCCCAACAAAAAAAAGAAAAAGCCCAGGACCTGATGGACTCAGAGCTGAATTCTATCAGACCATCAAAGAAGAACTAACTGATACCAATTTTATTGACGCTATTCCACTAGACTGAAGAGGAGGGAGTTCTCCCTAATTCATTCTTCAAAGCCAGTATCACTCTGATAAGAAAGCCAGGAAAAAACAAAACAACAAAAGAAAGCTATAGACCAATATCCCTTATGAGCATAGACATAAAAATCCGCAAAATATTAGCAAACCAAATTCAACAATACATTAAAAAAAATACACCAAACCAAGTGGGTTTTACCCCCAGGAAGCAAGAATGGTTCAACAAACACAAGTCAATAAATGTGATCCACCATATAAATGGTATTAAAAACAAAAATCATATGATCATTTTAATAGATGCAGAAAAGGCATCAGATAAAATCCAGTATCCCATCATGATAAAAAAAACCCTCAGCAAAACAGGCATACAGGGAACATTCCCCAAAACAATAAAAGCTGTATATGACAAACCCACAGCCAATGTCATCTTGAATGGAAACAAGTTGAATACATTCCCACCCAGAACTGAAACAAGGAAAGGAGGCTCATAATCACTATTCCTACTCAACATAGTACTGGAAGTCCTAGGCAAGCAATCAGGCAAGAAACAGAAACAAAGAGCATTCAAATTGCAAAAGAAGAAATCAAACTATCTCTGTATGCTGAAAACATGATCTTATACCTAGAGAATCATAAAGACTCCTCCAAAGAATTCCTGGACTTGATAAATTAATTCAGTAATGTTTCAGGATACAAAATCAACACACACAGACCAATAGCACTGCCATACATTAATAGATACCAAGCTGAGAATCAAATCAATAACTCAATTCCATTTACAATAACAGCCAGAAAGTTAAAATACCTAGGAATATATTTAATCAAGGAGGTGAAAGATCTCCACAGAAAGAACTACAAACTCTGATGAAAGAAATTGTAGAGGACACAAATGGAGAAACATACCATGCTCATGAATTTGAAGAATCAACATTGTTAAAATGACCATATTACCCAAACTAATCTACAGATTCAATGGGATCCCTATCAAACTACCATCATCATTTTTCACAGAATTAGAAAAAACAATCTGAAAATTCATATGGAACCAAAAAAGAATCAGAATTGCCACAGAATTCCTAAGCAAAAAGAACAAAGCTGGAGGTATCATATTATTTGACTTCAAATTGTACTAAAAGGCTATAGTGACCAAAGCAGCATGGTACTGGTACAAGAACAGATACATGGACCAATAGAACAGAATAGAGAATCCTGAAGTAAACTCAAATACCTACAACCAACTAGTCTTCAACAAAGAAGACAAAAACATACACTGGGAAAAGGACACCCTATTCAACAAGTGGTGCTGGGAAACTGGATAGCTACATACAGAAAAAAGAAACTTGATCCCTATCTCTCCCCATATTCAAAAATTAATTCAAGATGGATTAAATACTTAAATGTCAGACCTGGAATCATAGAAATCCTAGAAGAAAATAAAGGAAAAATTCTTCTGGACATCAGTCTAGGTAAAGAATTTACAGCTAAAATCCTAAAAGCAAATGCAATAAAAACAAAAATAAGCAAGTGGGACATAATTAAACTAAAAAGCTTCTGCACAGCAAAACCAAAAATCAACAGAGCAAATAGGTAACCTACAGAACGGGAGCAGATATTCACAAACTACACATCTGACAAAAGACTAATATCGAGAATTTACAAAGAATCAGCAAGAAAAAAGCATATTAATACCATTAAAAAGTGGACAAATGACATGAACAGACATCTCTCAAAAGAAGATAAATGTCCAAAAAATTTTTTAAAATGCTCAGCATCACTCATCCTCTGAGAAATGCAAATTAAAACCACGATTAGATACCACCTGATACTAGTCAAAATGGTCATTATTAAAAAATCAAAAACAATAGATCCTGGCATGGTTGCTGAGAAAAAGGAACACTTACACACTGTTGGTGGGAGTATAAATTAGTACAACCTCTATAGAAAGCAGTATGAAGATTTCTCAAACAACTAAAAGTAGATCTACCATTTGATCCAGCAATTCCACTACTAGGTATCTACCCAAAGGAACAGAGGTTGTTATATAACAAAGACACCTGCACTCACATGACGAAAATGTGATATATATACACTATGGAATACTATTCAGCTCTCATAAAAAGTGAAATACTGTCTTTTGTAGCAGCTTGGGTAGAATAAGTGAACTAACTCAGGAACAGAAAACCAAACACTTCATGTTCTCAATAATAAATGAGAACTAAGGATATGCAAAGACATAGAGAATGGAATAATAGACAATGGAGACTCAGAAAGGAAGAGAGCTGGAAGGGATAAAGGGACAAAAAAAAATCATCGGGTACAATGTGCACAGGTAGGAATACACTTAAACTAATTGTCCCCCCAAAACTATTGAAATTTTTTAAATTAATCAATAAATAAAATTCTAAAGCTGGCTAGCTGAGTTAACAATAAAACTAATTACTCTATTGGCTATATTATTTTTGCCAGTGTTAAAAAAAAGAAAAAATTAGCTGGGCATGGTGGCGTGCACCTGTACTTCCAGCTACTTGGAAAGCTGAGGCAAAAGGATCACCTGAGCCCAGCAGGTCAAGGCTGTGGTAGCTGTGAGGGTACCATTGCACTCCAGCCTGGGCAACAGAGTGAGATTCCAACTAAAAAATAAAAAAAAAATAAAAAAATTTTTTTTCCCTTTGTCAGGATCACATCAATCTCACTGTTCTTTTTGTGTATTTAAAAAAAACTCTGCCGGGCTCGGTGGCTCAGTCTGTAATCCCGCACTTTGGGAGGCTGAGGTGAGTGAACTGCCTGAGCCCGCAGGTTCGAGACCCGCCTGTGCAACTTGGCGAGACCTCATCTCTATAATAAATCAAAAAATTAGCCAGGCGTGGTAGCACGCGCCTGTAGTTCCAGCTACTTGGAAGGCTGAGGCAGAAGGATTGCTGGAGCCCAGCAGGTCGAGGCTGCAGTGTCCGAGAGCGGCCACTGCACTGTAGTCTGGGCGACAGAGTGAGATACCAACTCAAAAAAAAAAAAAAAAAAACAGTGGGCTGAGCAGGGTGGCTCACATCTATAATCCCAGCACTTTGGGAGGCCGAGGCGAGAGGACTGCCTGAACCCATGGGTTCAAGACCAACCTGGGCAACATGGTGAGACCGTGTCTCTACGATACATCAAAAAATTAGCCAGGCATAATAGTGCATGCCTGTAGTTCCAGCTACTTGGACGGCTGAGACAGAAGGATCACTGGAGCCCAGCAGGTCAACACTGGGGTGGCGATGAACGTGCCACTGCACTTCAGACTGGACGACAGAGTGAGACTCCAAATCAAAAAAAATTTTGATTTTGGTCAATATTATGCCTTTAATTCAATATCTACTGCTAATGAATTTTAAAATATTTTATCCTTTCATGATGTCAGTAAGTATATATCAAGTGAATGTATTATAATGCTAATACTGATAACATGTCTGAAAATCATTACATTGGAACGGAAGTCAGATGTCATAAACTCTACAAGGAAGAGAAAGTCAAACAATTGTCACTTTATGCTAGGCTGATAATTTAGGTGAAAACAAACTGAAAAAGCATTAGAGATAATGACAGGGGAGGGAGCACAATATTACAGTAATAACATATTACAGTCTTTACTGACTAATATCCTCAACCTGTCTCCACCATTTTACAAGCATTCTTATGGAAAAGTGAAGCATGCAGTTTTCAGGATGTGTTCCCACAATAGAAAACAATTTTGTATACGCAAAACTTTCAGAAAATGTCCTTGACTTTTATAATGATAAAATATGAAAAAAAAAAAACATACATTATTCTTTTACTTCTAGCATTCCATCTCTTGAGTCAGACATTAATTTTTGATAGGAATCTTTTTGGAGAAACCAAGTCTGCAAACTGAGTTTGTGCTTGTTCTGAGGATCAAAGCATTACCACTGCATCTATAGAGTTGCCTTATTCACCTTGACAACTTATCTATAGTGTGATAGAAGGTCAAAAGATTCATAAACTGCTATGGAGTCACCATGTTTTTATATTTTCTACAGACAATGTACTTGAAAAGGGAGAATAAGACTAAGTAGCTTATAAAAGTTCTCTGATGTAAGTTCAAAGACCCCACTTATCCTCTAAATTTATGTGAATTTTCAAAATTTGTTATTTTTATGTTGCTACTGTTATATTTTTCATTCATTACACTAAAAAATAAATTCATTACCCTTTTTTAAAATAACTTTCTAATCACTTATTGATGTCCAATTCTCAAATTCTCTAAGTTCTTTCCAATAACAATTGCAATTTGAATCCTTCAGATATTTAATTCCAATCGATACATAATTCATTAATACTATGACTATAGGATCGTAGCTGCTAAATGGAGCATCTTTTTAACTGCTGACCATAAATGATGGCTCAGCCATCATTATCAGTCTATATATAGTTCGTGTAATTATCAGCAAAAGCTTATCAAGATGTTCCAAATGCACAAAAACAAGAAGTTAAGATGACTTAGAATCATGGAAAGTTGGAGTCTGGAAGGAATTTTAGAGGCTCAGTCCTTCTATTTTAAATATTGTGGTAACTGAGAACCTAAGATTGTAAATAAATCATCCATAGTCACTATTTATACAGAATATAAGCCCATCCTATGTCATACACATGTATCTTACCTTTCTGGTGATGACCTAGGAGTAACAGCATACCCATGGACACCTTTTTTATTTTTATGGTCTAGAGAGATGACTTTATTTCTTAGGCTTCTTTTCCACTAGGAAAAAAAAATATGGAATCTTAATAATAAATACAACAATATGACAAGAGATACTCAAAATGTTCTTTTCACTTAGAAATTCAACATAAATAGCCAAATTTGTGACAGTTCACAGAGGAAAAAGCAATAAGTGCAGTACACAGAATACCTGGCTCTTTTGCAATGCAAAAGTATAAGCCCACCAAAAAATACTAGGAAGACATTTTAAAATTCAAGTTAACTTTACTCAAAAAATCAACACTTTGAGATTCAAAAGCTTAAATAACTATAAAAATTTGGAATGTATTTAAAGGAAGTAATATAAATTATTACATATCAGGTTACATAGGGCCTATGATTCTAAAGTAACAGCTTTTATAACAATTGAAAGGAATTAAAATTTGTTCCCTCTGAATTGTCACTTGGAAAATTTTAGGAAAGAGCCAGACATCTTACTAACAGAGTTTAGATTAAATATATAACTAGAAAAAAATTAAAATTCATTTATTTAATATATAAGTTATTTACAGGCTAATTATTTACATTCTCTATGTCTGTTTCATTATCTGAAAGTGGATGTAGTAATAGTAGCTATCTCATAAGGGTATGTGATTTACATTTGTAATAAATTTAAGACTGTTTTCATCTAAGAGGTATTTTTACACACGTTCTTAGCAACTTAATTCACAATAACCAAAAGACACAAGCAACTTAAGTGTCCACGTACAGGTGAATGCATAAGCAAAATGTTATACAGATATATAATGAAATATTATTCAACCTTGAAAAAGAAGCAAATTCTGAAATATGCTACATGAATAAACCTTAAAAATATCATATTAAGTGAAATAAGCTGGGAATTGTTTTTTAAATACTGTATGATTCCACTCACATGAGTTATCTAGAATAGTACAATTCATAGAAAGTAGAAGAGTGCTTGGCAGGTATTGGGGAGGGGATGATGGAAAATTACTATTTAATGGATACAGAATTTCCGTTTTAAAGATGACAAGTCTAGAGATGAATGGTGGTGATGGTTGTACAACAATGTAAAGTACTAAAAGTCATAAACCACACTCTTAAAATGTGTTAAGATGGTAAACTTTGTTATGTGTAGTTTATAACAATTTAAAATAATTTTGTTAAGTTTTTTTAAATTTAAGTAATGAAAAAAACAATATCTTGAACATGACAGTCCACAGCAAACATTGTCATGTTTATACTGCAGGTATAACTACATTATCACCACAGCCTTGCATAGTATAAAACACATCACTCAATAAGAAGGAAGTGAAGCTCAGAGAATAAACTTTCCCAATTAAACCCAACTCTGTTTGACATAAAAAGCCTGTGCTTATCAATACTTTTTTTTTGTAAGACAAGGTTTCATCACTCTGTTGCCAAGATCAGAGTATAGTTCCAAGTAGCTGGGGCTACAGACGTGTGCCACCACGCCCAGCTAATTTTTCTATTTCTTTTGTAGAGAAGAGGTCTGACTTTGTCGCCCAGGCTGGTCTCAAAATCCTGACCTCAAGCATTTCTCCCACCTCAGGCACCCAAAGTGCTGGAATTACAGACATGAACCTCCAAAATTGGCTTCCAAAACTAACTCTAAATTACACAGAATCTCAGAAATCCTTCTTAGCAATATCTAACCCAATATGTCACCCTCATTTCACTATAAAATGTTTATTAGTCAATATAACTAGATTAAAAATATCTTTTATTTTCAATATCACTGTGTAACTTTTGCCTCTTTTCTGACCTGTACTTGAGCAACGTTCTCTCAATTGATTTCTCTGTCACTGGTCTCTTCTCCCTCCAATCCAGCAGCCACCCCAACGTGAACATTAAATCTTTCAAAAAGGCACATCTAATTGTGCTCTCCTGCTTAAATTCCTAAGTTTTTCCCCACTAACTAAAGGAGGAAAAAAAAAAGAATTGAATTCTCATTTCTAACTTATTTCTGCTTTCCACGAATCCTGTATTCGGACAATGCTCAACTACTTGTAGTTCCCTGAAAGCACCATGTAATTTCATCCTTCTACATCTGTGCACATCTTCTCCTCCTAGAATGCACTTTGTCCTCCCCAGTTCTCTGTGTCCAGTAAGCCCCAGTTCTAGTACCACCTATGAAGCTAGACTCTCAGGACTACTAACCAGCTAGTTCCCCTCAGTCATTTCACTAATCTTATGATAAATGCAACCTTCACATTCTATATTACTGAATGTTTTGCACTCCACTGACCATACTGTAATAAGGTTTTACCTGTATTACAAAATGTTGGAATGACTAGTCTTTGAGCCTCACATTCTGTACAGAAATGAAATATTATTCCCACCAAAGGAAGGAAAAAGCATGAGAAGTCTTAAACTACTACAGAAATGATATAAACACACTGAGACAAAATGAAAATACGTAAAAATCAGTTTTTTGTCTGACCAATTGGTGAGCTGGGCACACAAGGGAGGTTGCAGTTCCCAAAGCTGCACTGCCAGTCCGGGATCCACACAGTGGCTGGGGATGCAATGATGTCCAGATAGGGGAACGCAGTGGTGCCCGAGAACTTGGGGATGCCAACCACCGCAGAGCCCCCAAGAGTGTTACAGCTCTCTTAGTTCGGGAGTCGGTGAGCTGAGCCCCAAGAAGCGTTTACAGCCTTCCTGGTTCAGTCGGCCAGTGAGCCAGCCCCCGAGAGGTAGAGAGATGTTATGGCTCTGAAGGTTTGGTGGTCCAGGCCCCCAAGGAATGCTAAAGCTCTCCCAGTTCTGCCAGTCCAGCTCTTCCAGCCTGGTATGTGTAGCTCTTCTAGTTCAGCAGCTCTTCTAGCTCAGCAGTTCCAGATTCCTGTCTAATGCCCAGGAAGAATGAGGGATGCAGACACCGAAGAGTGAGTAAGTAGGAAACCACTAGAAGATATGAAACCTCCCAGCAGCAGGAGGTGACCAGAAAGAGGGTTGCCAATAATGCCTCTGCAGTCAGGGGTTTATACATCTTGAGAGCATGCTGATTGGTTGGCAATAGCATCAATCAGAGAGCGGCACCATGGTGTGGGATTGAAAAGTACCAATCAGGAGGGGGTTGAAAAGGGCCAAGCAAGAAGAAGCACCTGAAAGAGGAAGTCCATGGACCTGGAAATGGGTGTGCTCAATCCAGTCCCTGGGGTTTACAGCAGTTTTACCAGGACCCACCCTAATCTGGTTTCTTCCTTTCTCCTCTCTCATAATTAAGACAGGAGAAGTAACCAACATGTATTAACTCCGAATAACAGTAAGTTGTTTTAATGCCTATCTCCAGTTCCATTACTATTCATGGGTAAACTGGAGTATAGATAGAGATGTTATCAACAACAATAAAAAATCACTTACATTTTGATCAACAGTTCCTTATATTTAATATCACACTAAAATATTTATATATTGTCTTTTTAAAAATTGGATTACAATTGCAGTTATAATTTAATTTTTTGCAGATACAATATTATCATTTAGACTATGAACTTATCATACTGTTATCTCTGAAAGAATAAAACAAGATAGTAAAGAAGTCTCCCACATTTGACTGTGAATAGGACTTCACATAAATATTCTGAAAACCATCTGAATGCAAAATCAGAAGCCTGAAAAGGTATGAACAATTTTATTTTAAATATGAAAAAGACTTTTTAAAAAATAAGAAACTTGGCTGGGTGCAGTGGCTCAAGCCTGTAATCCCAGCACTTTGGGAGGCTAAGGCAATAGGATTGTCTGAGTTCAGGGGTTCAAGACCAGCCTGGGCAACTTAGCAAGACCTTGTCTCTACAATAAATCAAAAAATTAGCCAGGAGTGGTAGCGTGCACCTGTAGTTCCAGCTACTTGGAAGGACTGCCTGAACCCAGCAGGTTGAGGCTGCAGTGGTTGTGAGCTTTCCAGTCCAGCCTGGGTGACAAAGTGAGACTCCAACTCAAAAAAAAAAAGAAAAGAAAAGAAACTTGACATACATAGAATCTGATCATTTAGTTACCTAATTTTGAAGCTCTCTCTCTGGCAAGGACACCAAATAAAATACTACGCTAATTAAAATGCTCCATAGGAAAATTTTTACAACCAAAGTGGTTACCTACAGATAACTTTTTTTCTTTTTTAAGTCAGAATCTCACTTTGTTGCCGAGGCTGGAGTGCAGTGGCACAATCACAGCTCACAGCAGCCTCTACATCCTGGTCTCAGGTGATCATCCCACCTCAGTCGCCCAAGTAGCAGGGACTACAGACATGTGCCACCAAACCTGGCTTATTTTTTTACTTTTTTGTAGAGACAAGTTCTTGTGATGTTACCTAGGCTGGTCTCCTGGGCTAAAGAGATCCTCCCACCTCAGCCTCCCAAAGTGCTGGGATTACAGGCATGAGTCACCACACCTGATCAACAATGGATAACTATTAAAAAGGAAATATTTGCTATCAAATTTTTCTTGAACAAAATCAACTCTGCATGCACTGTAAGTGGTGTTACGTTCCAGAGTCTCAACTGAGCACTTCCTTAGATGTTGAAAAAAAAACCGAAGCTACCTCCTGAGGAAAATACTAAGTTTGCACACATCTGCTTATCCCTGTCACAGCTTACTGCAATAGATGCATGACAATTTTCCAACCAATTAAGATTACTGGTCAGGATTTAACTTTTACATTGATTGTCATCTGATTTCCAAAGTAAGCAATATGTAATGCCAACACTAGAAATAGTTATCAGAGAACAAAAGCTGAAATTATCTACTAACTAATTGCCATTGAAACCCTGGATGACGCCAGAGAATTGAAAGCATATGTAGTATATGGGTAAAATAGAGCATGAAATATCACCAGTTCTTTGTGGCATATATTTCTTCAAACAAGAATCTGTTACTTCAAAAAAAATTTTTAAGCAATATATTTAGTTTTAACCCTGACTGAACATATACATTTTTAGACAAGATGATTATCACAGTTAAATAATTTTTTCCTCTTTCTATGGCAGCATTTTTCTCTTTTTACTTTATTAACT